GAAGGAATGAATCGTATGTCCAACTACTTCTCTGCAACTCTTTCTCGTACAAAATGAAAATCAATTTCTATGTGCTTGGTTCTACCATGAAAGACTGGATTCGCAGAGAGATATGTGGCTCCCAAATTGTCACACCACAAACAAGACACACGATGCTGCTTGATTACCAACTCATTGAGCAATGATTCTAACCAAATGATTTCAGCAGTAGCATTGGCCAGTGACTTGTATTCAGCTTCAGTACTTGACCTGGACATTGTAGCTTGTTTTCTAGCACTCCAAGAAATAAGATTAGAGCCAAAGAAAACTGCAAAACCTCTAGTTGACTTTCTGTCATCACTGCATCCTGCCCAGTCAGCATCAGAGAAAGCACTAACCAGGGAAGAATTAGAGCGCCTGAATTGAAGACCTAGACTCACAGTGTGCTTTATGTACCGTACAATTCTTTTAACAGCTGTCCAGTGTACAGTAGTAGGTGCATGAAGATACTGACAAACCTTGTTAACAGCAAAGGATATATCTGGTCTTGTCAGTGTTAAATATTGTAAGGCTTCTACTGCACTCCTGTATCTTGTGCTCTCTTCTTCCTTAAGTGGTTCTCCTTCAAAAGCTGAAAGTTTTTCTGAAGAGGACAATGGTGTGGGTGAGGGCTTACAGTCCTTCATCCTCATACGAGTTAGAAGTTCAGTAGCATATTTTTCCTGATTTAATACTATGCCATCTTGAATCTTCTTAACCTCAATACCTAGAAAGAAGTGTAGATCACCAAGATCCTTCAAAGCAAACTCTGAACTTAGATCATGCAAAAGAGCATTAGTAACACTTTGAGAAGAGCTTGCAACTATGATATCATCAACATATATTAACACAAATATAGTTGTATTTGCTTTGTTATAAATGAAGAGTGATGTGTCAGCCTTGGATGCAGCAAAACCAAGATATCTTAACTGAGAACTCAACCTTGAATACCATGCCCTTGGTGCTTGTTTCAAGCCATAAAGTGCTTTGTCAAGCTTGCACACATAGTGAGGCGTTTTCTTACTTTCATACCCAGGTGGTTGTCTCATGTAAACCTCCTCTTCCAGAACACCATGCAAAAACGCGTTCTGAACATCTAGCTGTCTCAAGCTCCATCCCCTGGACACAACAATAGCTAGCACAAGCCTAATAGTTGCAGCTTGAACAACAGGACTAAAGGTGTCTTCATAGTCTAAACCATAACGTTGTTTAAATCCTTTTGCAACTAAACGTGCCTTATACCTGTCAATTGTGCCATCTGCCTTTTTTTGATTCTGTAGACCCACTTACAGTCAATGATATTTTTACCTCTTTTCTCAGGTACAAGATGCCAAGTCTTGTTTCTCATGAGAGCTGAATATTCTTCATCCATTGCACTTTTCCACCTTGGATCCCCTAATGCATCTTCCAATTTTGCTGGTTCTCCTGTGATACACAACATGCCATATCTTATAGTGCCATCAGTCCTAACCTTTGGTTTTTTTTATACCTTTCTGTAGCCGGGTCGTGACACGCGAAACTAAAGTTGGTTGATTTCGTCGTGCAACAATCTGCGACACAGGAGATGAGGCAGCAGAAACAACCGTAGAGGATCCTGGAGACATCTCAGATTCACTTTCCGCAGCAAATCCCGGTTCAGACTGTGTAGTCTGCGGTGTGGGCGAATCATCAGAAGCAGCGGGCGCGGAAGATCTCGTGCTGCTGGCTGGCACATGTGCGTGGGTCAGGGATCCCGAAGCGAATCCTGATCCTCCTGTCGCTGTCTCGGGCCCGCGCGTGGGACGCGTTACAGGCGTGGGACGCGGTGCGGGATGCGGCGCGCCGTCCGGAAGTGGTGACGTGTTGCCCTCCAACTGGCCGCGCGGACTCCTGCCTGGTGCGCGATCCGGCGCGAATCTGCGCGTCCGATCCAAGGCGGCCTGGCGTACAGGATTTCTGGGCTGCGCAGGATCTGCCTCGTGCTCCACGTGTGCTTCGTCTCCTTCTGGCACATGAAATACCAGATCGTTTTCTTCAAAGTTTGGATCATTTTCTGCACCGATTTCTGCTGCATGATCCTGCACACAAGAGGAAACAGTCCTACTAGTAGGATCATCAGTTGGGTCAGTACAATTATCGCCCCCATGATCAATGCTTTGGAGATGTAGTGGTAGAAGGAGAATTTCTTTCTTGAGAGTTGCTCCGGCATTTGGATGAAGAGATTCAAAAGGATAGACAGATTCATCAAATACGACATCTCGAGAGATATAAACCCTACCGGTGGAAACATCAAGACATTTTACTCCCTTGTGAATTGGACTATATCCAAGGAACACACATTTTTTGGAACGGAATGCAAGCTTGCGTGTATTATATGGACGAAGGTTGGGCCAACAAGCACAACCAAATACACGAAGTGATTTGTAGTCAGGGGTAGTACCAAAAAGACGTGTGATGGGAGTCTCAAATTTGATGACTTTACTAGGAAGCAAATTAATGAGATATGTGGCAGTCAAGAATGCTTCATCCCAGAACTTTAGTGGCATGGATGCATTTTCTAGTAGAGCTAACCCTACTTCAACAACATGGCGATGTTTCCTTTCAGCCGAGCCATTCTGCTGATGTGCATGGGGGCACGATACATGATGTGAGATGCCAAGTTCTTGAAAAAAGAGATTTAGTTTCTTGTATTCACCTCCCCAGTCGGTTTGCATTTGCAATGATTTTAGTGTTTAGTTTTCGCTCAACAAGATTTTGAAAATTCTTGAAAACTTGAAACACATCAGATCGTTTCTTAAGAAGATAGATCCATGTAAACTTGCTAGAGTCATCAATAAAGCTTACATAGTATGAATGTCTGCCAACAGAAGTAGGAGCTGGCCCCCAAACATCTGAAAACACAAGTTGCAAGGGTGCAGTGGAAATACTGAAGGAAATAGGATATGGCAACTGTTGACTTTTAACTTGTTGGCATGGATCACACACAGACTCAATACTAGATTCATGAGAGTAGGGAAGTTTATTCTTGCTAAGAACAAATTTAACAATAACTGACGAAGGATGACCTAGTCTACTATGCCACTTTGCTGAAGAAGGCTTGACGGTAACAAAAGCTTGTTTATTGGATGATGATGAAGAAGATATAAGTGGGTAGAGACCTCCCACGCACTTGCCCCTAAGAAGCACTCTCCTCGTGTCCAAGTCCTTTACCAAAAAGAAATAAGGATAGAATTCAATGAGAACACGATTATCAAGAGTAGACTTATGAACTAAAAGAAGATTTTTTGATGTTGTAGGGACATAGAGAACTCTTTTTAGATGCAAATTTTTCATGGGGGTTTTGACAATTGAACTACCAACATGAGTGATTTCCATACCAGAACCGCTTGCCGTATGCACTTGGTCATGTCCACGGTACTTGTCTCTGATCATCAGCTTGTCGAGCTCCCCTATGATGTGATTTGTAGCACCGGTATCTGCATACCAGTTTGTGTCGATGCCGTAGGAGTCGGTGATGGCGTTTGCCTCCTTCTCCTCGTACTCATCTTCCTCATAGCGATCCCAACACGCACCGAGCGCCCCCGCGGTGATGCTTGAGGCAGATTTGGCACTCGGGATAGTCCCGGTGCAATGGTCGCTGTTGCTGTTGCTGTTGGGGACGACCACCTCGCCTGCTGCTATTGCTTGGAGAAGAGGAGGGCGAGCGCCTCCCACGGCCGCGACCTCTGTTGCCGCGTGCGCGCCCACGGCCGCGAGACTGGCCACGCCCCCTGTACGCCAAGTTCATGGAGGTGTTGAAGCCGGCGTCGGAGCCATCGCCCAGCATCTCCATTCGCTGGTCGAAGGCGGCGATCTGAGCGAAGAGATCATCGACGGTGATGGAAGTCTTGACAGCGCCAATGGCTGCTACAACCGGATCATAGTCCCGATCCAGCCCGGCAAGGGCATAGTCCACCATCTCTGGGTCAGAGACGGGGCGGCCTGCTGCAGCAAGTTCATCCCCCATATTCTTCATCCGGGCGATGAATGAGGTGCTTGACATAGAGCCCTTCTTGGTGGTGGTGATGGCGATTCTCAGATTCGTGATCCGAGATTGAGACTGCGAGGCAAACATGGTGGTAATAGCAGTCCATAGATCAAGGGTGTTTTCTTTACTCACAACTTGGGCGAGGATCTCCTTTGACAGAGAGTTCAGGAGATGGCTGAGGACTTGCTGGTCCTTGGACAACCATGGCGCATATAAGGGGTTAGGCACCATGCGCGTTGTCTTGTCCGTCTGCTGCTGCTCCACCATCTTCGGGAGCGCTGCATCGGATCCATCCAGGAGGCCGGTGACCTGCGCTCCTCGTAGGCCTGGCATCACTTGTGCCTTCCACAAGAGAAAGTTTCCCTTGGTGAGCTTCTCGGCGGGAGGGGCTCTGAGGTTGAGGGAGATCGGGGCCGAGGAGGAAGACATGGCGATCTGCTTGGGTGATCGATAGGATGGTTTTTCTGGCGATCGGTGGAGCTTCTGGCTAGATAGATGGAAAGATGATGGCTCTGTATACCATGTCAGATGGAAGCGTTCCTACTCCCTCGTAAGGGAGCCGCGGGTATATATTGATGGAGGCAGAAAGCCACTGCCGTGGCGTACAAGATTTCCTATCGCTAGGATACGGCTGTCGTTTACAGAGATAGAAAGTTGAACGAGAGGGAGAGAGAGTTTGTTGAGATTACAACACAAAGTTATCTCTAAGTCTAACACTAGGAACTGACCGTACCCTCGGAATTCTGATCTAATCGTCACAATTGACATGTTCTAGATCGCAAAAATATTTTCATTTTAGAGAACAAAGATGAGAGGTGTAGCAAGTTTTGAACCCAAACATTAGCCGATAAAAACACAAACTGAGGCAATACTCATCTCAAGTATGACATGAAAGCAGCACGCTGTACAACACTTTATTAAAATTATTTTGCATAAAAACACTTTATTAATATTATTTTTTCAAATGTTGTTACATTCAGAGGGTGCAATCCCCGGAACCACCCCAATTTGCATGTACTCCACCATCTTGGTCTGATTTGTGAGCAACCGAGTAGCACTTCGGATTTTCTACGGCCACGTCAAACTCGCGAGACATTGGAGTCACGAGCTGATGATCTCTTGTCACAATTTTGATGTTCTTCACATAGGCTGCTTTACCATCTCCCTCTGAAGCAGGGTGTCCGCTACCCATGGGTGGTGGCTTATATTTAATTGTAGGACCTTCAACCAAACCACCCCAGTAGCCAACAGTACCCTTCGATTTTAGGTAACCGAAGAGTTCACCTGGCCAATATCCGACTACAGTGCTCTCCCTGCCGAATTTTACCCACCAGTTTGAATTTGTATCCTAACAAACGAAAAGTACCAACCCGAGAAGTTAAACAAAAAGAACATATGAAAGTACATACAGAAGCATATATACAAATAAAGCTCATTGATGTTGAAGAGTGGGTGACAAAAGTATTGGTACTGAAGATATTTATATGAATCGAGATTGACCGCCGTTAATATATATTAGAATTGTCTACGAGAATGTTGGGGCAAGAAAATCCTTACTATGAGACATTATAAAAAAGTTTGGATTTTAAAATTATTTCATACTTCCCTCAGTAAATTGAGCTTTATAAAACACAACATGCCATTAAAACCATGTAATTGCACAACCGAACTATAAAACATGTAACTTTCCTAGTCCCGATGGTAAATCTAAGTCAAGAATTATACCACGGAAAAATAAATGATTCTAGGAACTTTCCTTTTTGGTGAGAAGATAATAAGATAATTTGTAGTTGTAGTATTATTTTTTCGTCAATGTAGTGTGAACTATTAACACCTCTCTCTCTCTCTCTCTGTGTGTGTGTGTGTGTGTGTGTTTTTCTAACATTTTGCAAATAAAAAATACAAAAGAAGATTCATGGCAAGCCCAGTTATTCATAATACGTCAATCTCTCATCGATTCCATGTTCTCCCTGCCTTATCATAATTTTATGAAAACATGTGCGTTAAGCCTTTTAGTTTTATGCAAAACCCACCATTACAACATTAGAGATTTCTTGATAATGTAGAGAGGTAGCTACGTGCTGAAGGTGGACGAGCACGGGGAACACTGGTATCCACGAGCGATAGTTGGCATGCAAACTAGGAAATATATAATTTATTTAGGGGTGATTTGTGAAATTGATAATTATATTGGCACGTGTCACTGCCTAACCCTAGGTTTTCTTGATGGTCTTGACCATAAAATCAAGGTATTTCAATATTCCAATATTTTAATTATTAAATAACAGTCTAACTCACGCTATGAGAGAAAATCAACAAAAATATCAACAAAAGGGGATAAAAATAATATTCAAAAAGAAAGATAAAATAAAAAGACTGCTAAGCACTAATCTTTTGTTAGTTGTTACCAAATACACAATTGAAAAAACCATAGTAGGTTGTTTATACTGTGGGTAAAATTAATACCTGATAAACAAAAGTGTTCATATGAGCTTGTGGCCCATCGTACTTCGAGATTGGCGATAATTTCCCCCCTAAAGGTATATTTGGACTCGTATGTATAAATCCGGGGCATTTTAGATCAAAGCATTGTTTTTGTCCATTGTCCTATAGAGCGAAATCATGTAAGTTTCCATAACATTTATCAGAATTCTGACATACATAATTAAACTTACTGCTTACATAGAAAATATGAAATCTAGCAGCCTTGTCACCTCCGTTACTTTGCCAAACCTAAAACAAAATAGAAAATATCAATTGTGATGTGGAATTTATCTTGCCAAACTTAGAACAAAATAGAGACCATGAGTTGTCATGTGGAATGTATCTCAAACAAGCAGATAAGCTCGTATTTTACTAAAAGGCACACATGCGCAAACATATCAGTGTGTCACGTGATGGATTACCAACATCTACATACTATAAAATG